CAGCAGGACCCTCAACTTTGTACAGACAAAAAAATAGTAAATGTTGAAGACAGACGAGATCCTACAGTGCTGCGAACTGTTAAACAAGAGGCCAAAACAATGTCTGCCATCCCAGGATCCATTTCTTCTGAGACTGTCTTCCGAGGTGATAAAACTGTTGTTTTTTCTAAATGTGATGTCATGGAAATTACTGGGAATTATAAAGATGTAATCCATAATGACAGCACTAAAGGAATGAACAGTTCACGTCATACAACTTTTGAAAAGCCAGTTAATACAAACTCTTCACTAGCAGAAAACAGACATCCAGCACAGGGTGATATGGACTTTACAAAGAGTCTAACATCTTTAGGTAATCGAGCTTCTGTGTCATATAAAAATAGTGCACTTGAACGATCTTCGGGCTCAGATGAACGAATCGAAAAAGTGACCCAAGATCATGGGACTGCTTCAGTGGATGTTGGTTTTGATTCATGTACAAATTCATTGTCTACTGGTGTTTCTAAGAGTAGACTTCATTCATTGTCTACTGGTGTTTCTAAGAGTAAACTGGAGCACAGACTAGCAAACTCTCAACTTGTTTCTCTGTCAGGTGAGAAGACGGTAATATTCTCAGGAGAAGATATGGACTTGACTAAAACCAGTGTTTTCAAGGATGATGGAAAGAATGTTGAAAATGAATCTCCTGCTGGAATGTCCACCTCTGTCAACTGCAAACCTCATTTTCTTGATAACGGATCTACATCTCCCAATTTAAATGAACAGGAAGAAATGGAAATAACTAAATGCCATGCTGTTGTCATTGATGATCAAAGCAATGGGATAACTGCAGAAGCAAAACAAATGCACTGTAAAATAATTCCAAGAAAGAACCAGAACAAAAATGTCAGTGAAGGTGCAAATTCTTTAGATATGGACAAGGAAAATCTTCAGGCGATCAGTATCGATGGGAATATTAAAAGAAGCCAGGCTATAGAAATGAATACTAAAGATCTTGAGATGATAATGGTTGACAAGAAGCTTGGAAAAACAAACTTTCAGGCAAGTGGTCCAAGTACCTGTGCAAAAAGCATGTGTTCATTACAAGAGCAAAAGAGAGAAGTCCCTGAGGATATTGTCACCGACACCTGTGCATTCATGTCTTTGAAAAGTCAAAAAGGTGTTATATCTCAACCTTTGGGAAAAAATCTTCCAAACGCTTCAGTTTCCTGCACAAATGACAAAACGGGCAGGTTTTCAGATGATGAAAACATGGACATAACCAAAACTCATCCTGCTGCCTTTGATGTTGCTCCTATCAATACAGTACAAGAATACAAGAATAATCATAATCAAACCAATGTAATATCCAAGCAGCTGCAAAACCAGACCTTCCCGTTTTCTGGTAGTTCTGGTGTAGATATCACAAGTCAGACTGCAGCAATAGGATGTGGGGATTTGAAAATGAACACAAATAAGCAAACTGTTACTCCTTTGGCTTCAAATGGTTCATTTATTTCCAGTAATGAGCCTGCTCTCTCTGGAATGAAAGGAAATGAACAACTTGGAACAATATTAGGAATAAAAGCAAATTGCCAAAACTCAGACAGGCAAGAGACAACTCATACTATGAAGGTAGAAAACAAAGTGTTGCCAACTCCTGTAGATTCTGAGAGAGATTTTTCAGTTGGTAAAACAGTTTCTTCAGAAGAGGATTTTAAAAATCCTCACTCAGTTGATGGCCTGCACTTGAGGGGTGCTGAAGAACCGTTACTAGCCAATACATCTGAACCACATAAGGGAAGTTCCCAATTGCCTTCATTTTTAGAAAAGTCAGTTGTGTTTCCCTCTGGTGAAAACATGGACTTGACTGGAAACTGTGCGATAATGGTTCCTGATCACAACATCAACCCTGTTTTATCAGAAAGAAAAGTGGTACCTGGACACATTGTTCAAGATGAAAATAAAATAATGTCCTTAAAAAAAGGGGTCATGATGACAGCAAATAGTCAGGAGCAGCCTGCGTGCAATGTGTACCCCTTGGTATCTGGCAAGAAAATGTTAACCATGACTGATTTAAAACATTTGCCTTTTGCAAGTGAGAAAATGACCGTATTTTCAGAAGATGCTGATATGGACATCACCAGAAGTCACACAATTTCAGCAGACAAAATAATTTTGCAGTGTAAAAGTTCAAGTGATGACATATCCTTAATTTCTGGAGATAAAACTTGTGTTTTTACCTACAATGATGACATGGAAATAAGTAGACTCGATACTATTGCAGCTGACAAATCTATGGAAAAGGCTGCATCTCAAGGGATGCTTAACACTGCTAAAAGGACTGGAAGGAAAAGCTTGAATGGAACAACAGGGGAAAAGACTGTTTTATTTTCACTGAACAGTGAGAATAATGACATGGAGATCACAGAGAGCCATACAGCTGCAATAGGCCATGAAATTGTCTTGCAAAATGAGGTAGGGCTTCGTTCCGTCTCTTCAGCTCATCCTGTTAAAACTGTTATGTTCACAAGGAGCCAGGCTGACATGGACATTACCAAGTCTTGCTCTGCTGATAAAATTACCGTAAAAGTTGTATGTGATGATAAACTGAACTTGGATAAGGAGGTTGGACAGCAAGCACTTTCAAATAGCGAAGCTACTATGTTTGCTATGGATGATATGGAAATCACTAAAACCCATAATATAGCTTTGGAAGAAAATTCTCTGCAAGGTAGGCAACGCAATCAGTCTGCTCCATTAACTTCCACGATTATGTTTACGAGTTACCAGGCTGACATGGAAATGACCGAGTCTCACTCTGTTGATGAAAGTATTGAAAGAGTCTTATGTGAGGATAGGTTAAACCTGGCTAAGCAGGTTGGACAGGAGGCTGCTTCAGATAGCAAAACCGTCATTTTTACTTTGGCTGAGGATATGGAGATCACTAAAACTCATACAGCTGTAGTAAGTGGTGAAATTGATGTACAGGACAGAGAGTCCAAATCCATTCCAGCCATTTGATAAAACCATTGTGTTTACCCACAACCAAGATGATATGGAAATAACTGCATCTCATACTATTGCTGTTAATAACAATACTAATGGATTTGAGAACCAAGAAGTGTCACATAAAAGCACTCGGCAACCAGACTTGCATAGTGCATTGTTGTCTTCTTGCAGAGATGAAATTGATTCCTCGCATACAAAAGACCTGGACGGTGAATATCATGCAAAATCTAAGGATAAGCCCAGCATTCCCTCTTCTGCTTCATCAGCCTCAGCATTTCCTAGTGAGAAAGGAGCTATCAAAGTCCACACTGGCACAACACCAGATTCCGTTTATTCTGTCTCGCTTCCAGAAGAGACTACGGATGTGCGGGCACCACAGGATCTTGACCTTCCCACAGATAATTCTGCCCCTGTAAACAGTCAGCAGGATCTCATACAGCCAGAAAAACTGAAATCAAAGAGAGTATCTTTCAAGCTTCCAAGTAATGGGCCCATGGATTGCAGCGAAGAAAGTAGCGATTTGGTATCCTGTGTTTCACTTCCCATCCAGCAATCAGGTTCTTTGACGGGTTCTCCAGATGCACGTAGTACTCAGAGAAACCAAGTGTTGAAAGATGATGCATCTAGACATGAGGTTTTAGCTACAGATTTAGGCTTGGCTGGAGCAAGCCTTGTTCCAGCTTCTAACAAGGAATCGAAGGAAAATGAGGGGCTGTCAGCTGAAGGGGAGACACCTCCAAAAGACTTTCAAATAAACTCTGAACAAACTAAGCAACTTTTGGTCAGTGACAGTCCAAGAGATCAAATAGATCCCACTCTTGCACCTGAATTTTCAGGTATTTTAAATGTTTGTTCAAAACTGAAAAACATTAGAAGGAAATCTGCAGTTCTCTCTGTTTCTGAAACTGCTTTTTCTGACCAGTTGCCCAAATCATCAACTCAGCCAGAGGATATGAGGTTAGGAAAAAATACTGTAAATGAACTAAATAATTTATTTTATACCAAAGAGCAGGAGAACATATGTCTTGAATCTGGAACTGCTCCCATAGATGCAAATTTAGGCATGGCACTTAAGGGTAAATATCAAGGAATAAATGTCCCTCTAGGTATCTTCCAGCCTAAATTACCGAACAGAAGAAATCCTTCTGTTTCTAGTGTACAAGACGTAAATGCAAAATCTTTAGACAAAGGAGAAGCACCAGTTTCAGAAGTAAGCGTAAACGCTGGTGAAACCCCAGGTAACAAGAAGTCTAGCAGGCAGAACTTCAGCCCTTCTCAGTTTATAGCAGAAGAATTTCTTCCTGTCTGCCTAGAAGAAATGGATTCAAATGAATCTGTAAGCTCTGAACTCGTGGAAAATGCTTGCAATGAGATAAGCAAAAAACAAATCTCCCACAATGAAAAGAATCAATTTGAAGAGACAAAAACTTGCAACAACACAAAAAGAGCTTTGGAACAACATGAGGAGGATCTTCAAAGTCCAAAGAAGCTCAAGGGGGATGAAAACTTGGATGGTGAGGTCTCCCAAGACTTGCAGGTGAGCCTAATCACTCATTATAAGGATACAGTGAACACTAATAGGACTTCTGTTTAAATTTTGGGGTGTAAGCAGATCTATTGGTAGGTTTTCTTGTTTCTCTTAACCACCAGTTTGCTGTCATTTTGCTATGTCGTCCCCTGTATTTTTCATTGTTTTGCCAAAATTGAAGAATCAGCTTGATGTGTGCAACTTTCCTGAACCATGCAAAACAGTCGGAATAAGGGATATGTCAATTTTAAATAATTCTCTCCATAGTATCCTTTTAATCCTCTTTTGACGAAATACTCTTAGTCCTCTGAATTAAACTATTTGCTAGTTGTTGCTTAGGTACAATGATAAAGTAAGGCCTAAAGCAATTATTTAAAATCCTAACATGGATGTTTAGTTTAAATTAGCTTTTTTTATAGACAGCACAAATTGCAGCTGAATCAAGAAAATCTGTGCAAATACGGAACATTAATCTGACCTGAAAAATAAGTTTGTACATCATCAGTAGAAACTTTCAATTCCAAAAGCTGGAAGGGTGTGCTGCGGTGGCTACTGCTTTGAGAAATTAATGAAGGATTTTGCAGCTTTCCTTTCTATATGTCACCACAGGAGATGGCTTAACTAGCTATATGCTGGTTTGTCATGCTGATTAGATACAAAATATGCCGATACTAAAAATGAAACCATTCTGGATGTCAAGAAACAGGTACAATAAACTACTGATCAACTTATTCTTGTATTGTTTCATATAACTCTCTTAATTTTTTTTTTTTTAACTTGCTAATATTAGGTTACTTTTGCCGCTGTGTCTCAAAGCCAAGTAGAAGTTCATGAAGGTGAAGATCCTCCAAATCTGTCAGCTAAAAGCCCTGATTGTACTCATGCCAGCACCAGCAGCTCTCTGGATTCTGTTAAGGCTGACACAGAATTAACAAGTAAGACTTCCTTTGTGGTAATGGTTTCAAACCTTGTGTTATTTATGCTTAACCGAGGAAGAGCCCCACCCGTAGTATATATTTCATTTGGGAGAGGTCTTGAATGCTTGTGTCACAGATTCCCACCCAGCCAGTCAAGATGCTTTTACATTCTGGCTAAGAGTTCAAGCCGTTCAAGGAAAAATGAGATGGGAAGGAAAAGGAGCAGAATTTAAGTACAGCTTTGTTTTCAAGGGCAAGTTGGGCTGATGAGGCGGTTTAGTTACCTTAGCACAGAGCAAAGCCCCAACTCAAAGACAGCGGGCCCAAAGATGATTTTAAGCTGGTTCCATGCAGAATGAGTCTGCATGTCTCAGCACTGCGCTCTTGGGAAAAGACTCCTCAGAGTGCATTGCAGGGACAGGCTCTAAGCAGATTCAGCCCCCAGGTTTAATTAGCTCTTGCTAATTAGCTGATACCTAACAATGAGGCAGAAATCTGCCAATCACCTGATAAGTGATATCTTGCCTTACAAAACCAATTCCAATTCTGGCCTCTTGCAATTAT